GACGGAGACCGACTTCAACATGCCAAACAAGAGGTGTTTGGCTCAGTGGGCGCACCCGGCACCGCATACCTGCCTTGTTCGAGGTTCAACTTCGACAACAACAGAAACAAATAACGCGGTAACGCGTGTCTGCATGTGATCGCGTTTTACTTAGCGCCTGGCATCCAGGCAATTGTGGGTTCCCATCCAATTCGGAATCAATTCCCATCAGTGACGATTCTTCAGAATTGCTGGCCATACTAGGCCATACTGGACTTACATTCGGGAAGAACCGTAGCTTCCTCGCTATACGATTGTTGTCGTATGCTATCCACCTCAATAGGGAACTAGTACAGCACCTCAGGTAAGTACCTCAGCTACCGTGCCGAAGTACAACAGCGAGCTTCAGCTCACCTTCAATTCAGCGTGAACTCGACTTGCTTGATCATCGTCGACAACAGCTGTGTCTTCTCGGGCTTCTGTCGTTACAAGTATTCAGGAGCTCGGAGCGCTGAAGCAATATCGGAACCTGAAGATGAAGCATTGAACGACGACCAACTCCCGCGTCGTTCGAGTCGGCGGCCTGGGCTCAGGAAGGTGGTGGTTAAGGGTAAAGAGAAATGCCCAGTTCAACATACGAGCTGAACCCTTATATACTCTTGCAGAGTTTGACAGGTCTTGAACTACGGTGCGCACGAGTTGCCTAATTCGACATAAAATCGCTCGTAAAGGCAAGTGACCGCAAACCAATGACGACATGACGTCGACCTGCGTAGTACTAAACACTCGCCGCATTAGGAAAGTGTATGGGTGAAGACCATCATGTTCGCATCAAACTTGGGAACAAAGATTGGGCTCTATCTCACTGCAAACTTTAGATTACCTCTGAACAACTCGGTCGCTCCACAGTCGGAGGCTATAACTATGGATACAAAGAGGTTCATGTTACATGTGGGCGTTCTTGCTTTTGGACTTGCTCTTCAACGGTAATTCGCTGGCAACTTCAATTCGCGGGGCTCGTGAGTACCGCGCCTACAAGAAGCGTTAGTCGATCCATCGCCGGCACACGCAAACGTAGACGTGATGTTCCGTCCAAAGTACGCACCTCCATCGGGATGTAACACCTGGCCGTTCAAGAAGTTCGAGTTTGGGCCGACCAAGTACAAGATCGCCGCCGCCATGTCGCCATCATCGCCTGTCCTGCCCGCAGGCAGCGACTTGCCGACATCCTGCAGGCGCGACTTGTTCGCCTCGTCAGAACTGTCCGCCGTCATCTCGGACGGGAATATCCCAGGGCAGATGGTGTTCACACGGATCTTCGCCTGCGCGAGGGTCGTGCCCAGGATCTTCGATAAGTGGAGCATCGCTGTGGACGCGGACGCACGATCAGGGCGAGTAGAGGGAAGGGCAGACAATACACGCACCAGCCTTCGAGGCGGCGTATGCGAACTGGCCCGAAGAACTCGTGCGCATCATGCCGCTGATGGAGGCAATGTTGACGATGCTAGACGAATATCCGTGCGTGTTTGCCGTCCCCTTCGATAGCAGCGGGATGAACGCCGCTGCCACAAAGAACTGCGCCGTCACGTTCGTCTCGAACGTCTCTGTGTCGTCCGTTCACGTCAGCTTCCAAGTCATCAGATGGGAAATAAACAAACGGACCTGCCCAGGATTCGTGCGTGGACTGAAGGAGGTGCTCTGCAATCGCGTTCGCATCGCGCATGTCCGGTTCGCCCTGCTTCGAGTATGCGGTGGTCGACTTCTCCTTTGCGACGCCCGCGTTGTTCACGAGCAACTGTATTCCGTCCGACTCCAGCTCCTGGATTTTCTTCGCGAGGCGCAGCACATCGTCGCGCTTGGTGATGTCGGCAGACAGTCTGTTCTCTCCGCGTCAGTCATTACGCTGTACAGACGCGTTGACAATTCACAACGCACCCGATGATCTTGCCGTTGGGTCCGTACCGCTGCACGACATTGTCGAGTGCGTCCTGCCTCCGCCCAGTGATGTAGACCTTCGCGCCGTTCGCGACGAGCGCCTGGGTGATCATGAGCCCAATGCCCGTCCCGCCGCCGGTCACGACGGCCTTGAATCCGTCGAGCGAGAACACCTTCGACGCCGCGAAGGCCTCGTTGGGCTTGTAAGTTGTTTGCGAAGCTGTGGCCATCGTCGTCGCGTGTAGTGGAACGAGGTTAAGTGCTGTGGCGGCTTCGCAGGCGGGGTGGGGGGTTTATATACTGTCGGGTGTGGCGCGAAGTGCCAGAAATCTACGTTCCATGACGCAGTGAACGTGTAAGGCAAACGCGATGCGCCCGTCCCGACGTCGGCCGCGACGTCATGAACTGTCCGGCAGGAAGACATGAAGGAGACACGCGGTCACGTGCCTGTGTGAAGAGGGAGTGCTCCCACGTCTTATGACGGACCGTGAAGAACTCAAAACCGAGAGTATCTCTTTTTGGTCAGCAACGGAGACTATGAAGAACTTCGAGACCCAATATTGCAAAGGCGGCGCAGACACTGCATAGCCTACTAATACTCGCTTTGGCTCCACAGCAAGCCCGCTTTCCCTCTACCACGCGCTGGCTGATCATGACAGCTGCGATACTCAACCCTGTCAAAGCGATACACCTAGGCTAGTCAGCTTTCGAAACAATCCTCGCTATGCATCATTCTATGGGAGTCGGGGGCGGAGTTCAGGCTTGTAAACGATGCAGGCACCAACAGTCTGGGCGCGGGACGTAGGGAGACCTGGTGCCCCACGACCTGGCGACAACACTGAAGCTGCATGTTCAGCTGTTACGAAGAAATAACATGGTGTCGACTACAGACTATTGGTATCCTTACTGCGATGCTACACGCTTCATCCACACACCTCTCGCAATGATCAAGCCTCCTCAGTCGGCGGCGCCTCCACCAAGAAGTACGTTGCGCCCACAAGCTTCAGCCCATACTTCTCCGCGAACGCGACCGGGTCCCAGCTCCGTCTCTCCTCCAGCGCAGCGCCATACTCTGGCGCACCTACCGGTAGGCGCAGCGTCTGCGCGGTGGAAGGCTCTTGCCAGAGCAGGAACGCTGTGATCGGCGTTCAGCAACATCTTGCGAGGCTGATCGAGTTCGGTCTGCTCACTGTATCGGTGGATACCGCTGGCAGGACGCGGTCCTGGTGGACGGTACGGCGTCGTCGCGGGCTCGGTCTTGAGCGCGTACGGACTCGCTGTGCGGCTCGCTGTCCGTGGGGGCGCTTTCAAGCCAGTGATCTGCGCACGATCAGTCGCTCATTGGCTACACCATGGGGCATCGAACGCACCAACCAATGCCTGAAGCACCTGAACTGCGGGTCCACCCTGCTCGGCGCGTCTGGGTCGACCATCGCAAGCGTGTACGCGACCTCCGCCATCGGCGCGTCCGAGCCAAGCCCCCCTGCGGGTGCGGGTGCGATGACGTCTGCCTGCTCCGGGCCAAGGCTCATCGGCATGAACACGATCTCGGGCTCCTCGCTCGCTGCGTCGACTGTGAGGGTGTTCCCGGGGAGGGCCTCCTGGCTGTTCGGGTAGGTGATCGTGAGGAGGACAGAGGGGTGAAAAGAGGACGGGAGGACGTCAGGTATGAGCGCCGCGCGCGCGAGGTCGGTCGTGAGCGCGGTGAGGGGGTCGAGGTGTGCCATGGTGCTGGCCCTGCAGGTGGTTGCTGGTATTGAGTATTTGATTGCTGGGAGGTATCTGTAGCGACGACAGTGTCAGTCTAGAGGTTGCAGGAGAGCATGATGTGCGCGGGCCGAGTGGCTACTAGATGGAGCTGGGCTGGTATTGACTCCAACCTGGTGACCAGCTTGACGGGGACTGCGGTCCGTCTGCGCAGGGAGACCCATGGCAAGGTTAGGGTTATGCCACGATGATAGTCAGCATATCACAGTCGTTGTAGACACCGAATCTTTTTGAAGCATATCCAGTGTGTATGAAACCTTGAATTTTCGGCAGGAAGAGGACGACCAGTTCAGAAGATAGTAGAGCTCACAAAGCTCGCGACTTACTGGTGAGAGGAAAGCAGCAGATTCACCGTGACTGTCGCGAAAGTGCACCGTTTGACCGTTGCAGACTGGAGAAAGAGACACAGTTCCAGAGCACCCGCTTGCCGTACAAGGCGCTGAATACTGCTATTGTTACATATACTGTGCACTTGTCGACAACTTTCAGGTTTGAGGTATTCATACAGATCTCGTCATGAAATCCAGGGGCACTTGAGACTGGGGCGCGTCACGAACAAGTCTACAATGAGAAACACCTGCAACATCGCACACGTAGATGAACGTCAGATCCGAGTCTTCCAACGACCTAGGACTCACCATCATCTCCTCCCTTCCTTCTCCGTGGCACCCAGCAAACTCGCCACGACACCCGCGCTCTCCTCCAGCCTCTTCCTCTTCTCGAACAACGCCTGTACCGCAACTGTCATCTCCGCGATCAACTGCTCCTCCTCCACCTCGGGCTGCTGCACGTGCAAAGGGTCCCGCGGGCGCAGGGGCAGCGCGCCGACGCCGGAGTGACGAAGGACGTCGGCGAGAAGCTGGAGTCCTTGTTGGAGCGTGGCCATGTCCGCTACGTATATGAAACGCGTGAAAGATGTCATGAAGAAGTGAATAGTGAAAGCGTCCAGACGCACCTGCGGTCTGGATGGGATTGTTGCCCGCTTGATACGCATGTTGGCTACGTGCAACAGAGGCCACCAGCAGAATGTTAGCATGCAAAAGACAAGGTAACTGACACACTCACGTCGCCAACAACACACTCCTCGCCAACGCCTGTACGCGCGACACCTGGCTCAGCGCGAGCTGGATATTCTGCTTGAACATATCCGGCGATCCTGCCTCCGATGTGGCCACAGATTGCGAGAATTGACTGATACTGCCAAGCGGGGCATCGTAGAGACCAGTCAGACTCGTGGAGGGGGTGAAATAGGTGGAAGTGGTCGACGGAAGAGTGGGATAGGACTGCGAGAACATGATGGTAGTGGGAAGCAAAATGATTGGCCAACGCCGGGGTCGAACCGACGACCTTGGCGTCACGTGACAAAGTTTGCACAACAATGCATATTAGCACCACGCTCTAACCAACTGAGCTAGTCGGCCATTTATAAATTACTCCAATAAAACGTATATAAATGTGTTGTAAAGCAATGACATGCTCGGAAGCCACTCGGACTCTGCCCTGGCCTAGTACCCGCATCATGATCATGCTGACTGTGACAATAGTCACTAATGTATGTACGTATACATAGGCCATATAGTACTTGCCGATCAAAATATGAGTAGCGTCTCTGACTATGCAGATTTTGGCTGCCTCTGGATGAGGCTTCGCGACGACCTATCATAGCTGTGGGTCTCTCCAGGACTCCGACCCAACCATAACTTAAGGTCAGGTCTCTGCGCGTCGCAATGACCTTGTCTCCGCAATGTGCGCACCTCTCGGTGGGGTGCCACGTCCGGGCCAATAGCCACTTAGTTCCGCATCTAACTTACTCGTCGCGCAGTCTTGCTTTTAATTACACACACGGTGGACACCCGCCGCATATCACTACTGGGGAGTCGGTCAAAGTTAACACCATGTCGACCAACACAAGTCACGGCAGTGGAGGTGTGGCAGAGAAGGTCAAGTGCGTGCTCATATCCTTTCACTGGCATTGACTAGTGCTAATATCCCGGCGACAGAGGGGCCGGTCACGTCGTCAAAGGTGAGTCGACTGGAGTCTCAGATCTCACCTCCCATCATCTACCTAACGACTCCCACCTGAAGGTATGGCGACAGCAAATAGAGAGGAAGCCCAACGAGGCGTGCAGCAGATGAGCTTCGGCACCGGCGGAGGGGCCCCCGGCGGCAGCAATGGCAGCGACTCCAACCCAACCACGCTCGGCTCCAGCCTGAGCGCAGCGACCACCTCGACCTACCTCCCCTCCGGCGTCGCAGGCGTAGGTGGTGCCCAGCCGATCACCGCTCACGCTGGTGCGCTTCCGCAGGGACAAAATGAGAGCGCGCACCCCCTCGCAGGGCGGCGCCTCGGAGACTAGCCGCGGAGTCAGTCAGGATGGCGGGAGGAATGACCGCGAGTTCGAGACGAAGTATGGCCCGCCCGGAGGTGGGACGCTACCTAGGGAGGACGAGCCGCTCCCCGCTGTGGATGCGACGAGTTCGGGGCCGGGGACAGGAGTTCCGAGCGGTGGACCGGCTGTACTTCCCTGATATCGAACGAATATGAGATATATATGGGCCTCAGAATTACGAGATCATGCTGTCTTGAGACGGGTGTTTGTGACTAGGGACTTGAAGACCATGCTCTGCACTTGCAAAGCACCGGCTTCCAGACACGTGCAGACTTCGTACAAGCACAACCGGGAGGCAGTCTATCTATTGTACACGTTCACACGGAGGAAGTTTCGCGCGAGCTTGCAACACAGAGTACTGCGTGATCTGCCTAGTACTTGACGTGTTCGAACTGCCAGTGGTTGTGGCTGTCCGTAGCCGTCGTACCGAGCGTGACCTAGCAAAAGCACACTCATCAGAAAGTCTTCCATCGTCGGCGGTTCCTCACATACCGGCGTCTCCTCGTCGCCGTCCTCAAGGCCCCAAAAGTACAGCGTGCGGTCGGCTGGAGAGATACTGAGCGACCAAACGCAGTCAGACATACCCCATAGTGCACTATCACAAGGACGGATGCGTACGTGTACACGTCCTTCCTTCTCGTCTCCTGGATAACGAGCTGTTGCGAGGTGCCCCTGCCCACGACGTATCCGCCCGCAGGGGAGCGGGGGCCGGCGTTCGCGTACGATGCCTGCTCTACGTTCTCGACGGTATACTTGCCGTTCCCGAGCCTGACTACGTTCCACTGAGCATGTGTGGTGAGTACGTCGGGATCCACTGGCACGGAGAACAGGTTGGAGGGCACTCACATGCATGACGCGTCCGACTTGTTCGGCGGAGCCGACGACCGAGGTTCCGTCGTTGGGATCCAGCAGAGCGAGCGAATTCCCGCTGAGGACGTTCTTGATGACATATGTGCCCGTGCCGAGAGACATTGTGTGTCGAGTGATGGTGGTAGTCGGGCTTGCTGAGGGATGTGGCAAATCTTCGAGCTTTTATAACCAGCCTGTCAAGACATAGGAGACACGATGTGTCCTTGTGGAAGTTTGTAGGCCTACTCGCAAAAGCACCGAGTCAGCGCGACTATGCGTTCAACGACTACACACAGGTGCCCGTGTGTCCGAGTCCGGGTCCACATTGCACTTCGAGTGGCTCTGCAGGTTACACAAGACTAGGCCGACACTTCGAGGCCATCGACCATGAACTTGGTTGTCAGGCTCCAGCTGTTCCCTGCCCTTGTCGAACGAACCTCCATTTCCCATCATCAGGGTGGCACGCAGGTGTCCCAGATCCAAAAAAGCTATCTTATTTTCCGCAGTGACATCTGCATCGAGACCGAACGGAAGGAAGTGGAAACTGCCGTGTTTCATGCATCGCGGTTCAGTGGCTCCGAGTCCACCGGTCAACAATCTCCACTAATACCGAGGCACCGTTCAGTTTCACAAACATACTAGCAGCAAGTTTGAATAGGTGACATACGGTACGTTTTGCGACGACACCCATTGTTCTTACTATGTCCGAGCTGTGACCACCCCAGTTACTCAGGCCCAGATGCTGCACAGACCCCAAACTCAAACCAAACAACGAATGCAATTTAGAATCATCACTGAGCAAAGACAAGGCACCGACTCACCAAGCAGGCTGCTTCAAATCTGAAATTTGGATATGCTCGCGGCGCCAGCGCCAGGTCCGTAAACACGTCGAAAATTGAGTACCTCATAACCTCTTGCTTCACTCCTCATCACAGCGGCGACTGTTCTTGAACGACACTTCATGATGCCTAGCAATGGAATCGAGGACACAGAAGCAGGGCTCATTTATGAGCACGCTGCGACCATGTGTGCATAACATAGTGCGGTGGAGGGATGCGACCGTGTGCGGTACGAGACAAAGTGTGCCAACGAGTTGGCTTCGGCCAGTGCCGCCAGTCCCGCATGAAGATCGGACGCCGGCGGTGTTTGGGGACCTTGTGGCCACATTCGTGATGTAGAATGGAGGTAGTCGGGGGTCCTGGAAACAGCCAACCCGCGAAACCCAACCTCTTCCAAGTCGGACGAGTTCGCTGGCAACGGCGCCGGCTAACTGGGATGAACCCAATATTGTCTTGTTTGTCGACTGCAAGACATTCCATGACCCTACAGAACGCATGCCACAGTAAGGTCCCAACGAGGGACGAATATCTGACTCTGCGCGAGTCGCAAACCAGCACCATGCTTCCGACCTCCCAGTCCGAGCTCAAATGAATATTGATGCGACTAGTATGTATCGTTCTGCTTCTGCTCTAAAGGTGCCGTATAGTGACTTCCAATCTTTACTCAGACAACATCAGGTCGATTCAGTAAAAGCGAAGACGGACACGTTCTATCATGATTTTGGGTGGAGTGTTGCGCCTTTGGGCTGGGTCTGGCAGTCCTGAGTCGACAAATCGACCCCGAAGTACCCGCTAAGGATCGGGGGATTGGAACTCTGGGTAACGAGATCTAAGCTCAGGACGCATGGCATAAGGTTGGGACACAATACGAGCTTCGAGTCTGGTCGCTGACACACATCCAGGTTTTTTCGGGCTTCCGAGTCTGCACTGCATGGTAACAGCATCACGGATTCTACCGTGCAGAGAGAGCTATCGACGGGGCCTGTTGCCAGTTCCGCAGGTGCGGACCACCGATCAATCTGTGGACACTGATAGAATTGGTGCTGGTACGTACCTACTGCGAACGCCATAGCTCGCTAACCTTTGGCTTGAAGTCGTGCTCAGTGATACGTTGCTTCCCCTTGCAGACTTTGAGTACTGTGATGCTCATGCAAGCCTGAGTAATCCATGTCTTTCGGGCCGGGCGTCTTTGTTAGAGACAACCGAGGACTGACAGTCCAGGTATCGACTCGCCGTTTAGCAAACATGAGTAGGTCATACGAGCAGCTCATAACCGAATGTCCAATGACCGGACGGTATGCCGCACGATGAAAATCATCATTCCATGCCACTGCGGATGTGATCTACATGGAATTGGTTCCGGAATACGCGAACCAGAGCGACTCTATGCAATTATCACCACTCATTCCCTGCAAGGGTGGTACGTGGACACCACCCTCATGGAGCTCGCGAGGATACTTCATGCTGAATAAATTACCTGCATACAGTGATGTATTACGTGTCAGGACTGGTAATCTGCGTGCTTCGTCGGAAGTTTGGGACTCCCTATATTAACCCCATAGGACTTTCGTACAAGAGTGACTGACGTTGCTACGTGCTTGCGTTTTATTCCGTCTATTCTGCACCCATTCACCACGATACCTGAGTGATATGAGCTCCGGGTTGCCTTCCGGCACGTACACAATCACCAATGTGTTATACTCCAACCGCGCGAGCCTCACCAAGGGAGACGACGAAGAGATCGTCAGCTGCAAGCTCCCCCATCCGGAATGCGTCGGACAAAAGGTCAGCTCAATCAAACAGTGACCTTCATATAAGCGGCAAAGACTGATAGACACTCGCTCTAATTTCAGTGGAGGTTCACAAGATATCCCGGGGACCGTTACTCCATACGGAACGAGGAACATCAACTACACGTTATGACGCAGACGAATGCGGCTGAAGCTGCTCTCGTTTACGGTGTTCGGGACGATATTTCGATGGCCTGGACAATCAAGGAGTGTGAAGATTACGGATCAGATGTTTACAAGTCAGTAGGAGTGCGGCGACATTACGTGCGCTTCGTTGACGCTGACACTTCTGGATTCATAGCATATATGCGGAGGGGTTTTCCAACCTCGTCTGGACAATCGACGATTGTCGAAACGGAGCGCCTGTACGACGAAGTTTCTCGGATATCATATGCCACCAAGTACTTAATGGACCACAACAAACACAGATCTCACTTGTTCGATTTGCAAAGGACAGACGCAACATGTGGCAGGCGAGTATTCTTACAATACGCTCACCCTACTTCACCACGCCTTACATGTGCTCCATCTCAGATAAGTCCATATCCGCCTG